ATCAATGGTGAGGTCCAGTAACCCCAAATCCACCATTTCTTCACATCCTCTGCGGCATAAGGAGAAAACAAAAAATGAATATTCATCGGATTGAACGAGTAAAAAGTTTCTGCAAATACCAGAAAATATACCTCTTGCAAGGATAAAACCACCCAATGCAAATTGTAAAAGAAGAGCAAATGCTCCAAATGTGCTAGCAACTCCCATTGTTCTCCCAACTGCTCCAATGAATCTGAACAATGCTGATGCCATCTGGTGTTCTAGTATGAGAAGCAAGAATTGTTTGAACAATCTGCAAAGCAATAGTCAATTCGATTAATAATCATGGTATGAACGAAATTTCGAAGGCCGAAAAAAAAAAGGTAGCCCGGTGCACTAAGCTCCCGCTATACGCGGGTCCGGAGAAGGTCCGAATCACAAGGGTCTATTGTACGCAGCCTTACCCTGCATTTCTGCAAGAGGCTATTTCCACGGCTCGATCCGTGACCTCCTGGTCCCGTGGCAACGATAAATTACGCCAAGGTTCCCCGTCCTAATTATTATTAGTCTGGACTGTCTTTTTCGTTCTTTACCTTGAAACATTTGGATCAAATCCCATGACATAATATGTAAGGAACGTCCAAAGACCAACTTCTACAAATGTTACAGGGATTTTGAGAATCCATGTGGGAAGGGTATAAGCCCATGAACGGAAAAAGAGAAGATCCCTATGCTTGAAGTAGACCGGAAGCTTGAAAATTGTCAAAGCGATCTCAGCCATTCCATTAAACATAATCATAACGACCACGAAAAAGAGAGCACCAGCATATATCCCTCCATCATCCATATCATCTCGAGGCATCTTGGTTCGGAAAAAGACAGTCATTGTTATAAGTGCCATTATCGCGAGCTGAGAAAACATAACAGAAACAAAAAGATCATTACAATTGGCACATGGTTATGAAAAGGAAAACACTTATATATTTCAAAGAGAACTAAGTAATCACCTGACTGAGCTTGAAGATGTAAACGAATGAGTTCCTCTTCATTAGTAGATATTCTCGTTCAGCGCAGACCTTCAACAGTTGTTTTGTCCCTATACCATATTTCTGAGTAGACAAAGCAGCAGGGTGGATTTTGCTCTTGTCATATGGAATTGCAAGCTCATCGCCAAGTTTCCTTCCAACATGGAAAGACTGATATGCCTCGGCAAATTCTTTTGAAGCGATAAACCTGTAAGGCTCATCCTTCTTGGCCCAATATTGCTGTTGATCCTTCTTTGATGTTACCTGCAAGAAATAATTTAAAATGTCTGCCATTTAGAATCAAAACTTCGTCTACTCCAATGTATTCTATACATAGTTCACTATATAAAAGTGAACTCCATCGAGCAGCTTAAACATTTAGATGATATGGTCACAGACCTCAAAAAAGTATCATGGTATCAGAACAGACTTAAGTCGTGAGTTAAGTCTTATTGCCAGCTATATTGTCAAAAATACTCACTTGCTTGATACATGAAAAAGAATTAGAAACGCACATGAGGCGCATTTTTGAAGACATAATTAACTACATATAAAAGTATGCTCTCCCAAACAGTTTAAGCTTTTAGATGAGATGTTCATACACGTACACTTCAACATAGAATCAGAACGGACAGAGATATTGGATTAAATCTAATCGCCACACACTATATAAAAGGATTTTCATGTGCTTGGTCTCTTCCACAGATCGGTGGATATGAAATAGAATGAATGCAAGGACAAAGTCACCGGTATACTTTGATCCAGATCCAAGAAGGGCCAGACATGAATCGGAAAGAGTCACTTTCCTCATAGGAGAAAGGGTGTGTGCCCATGAGCATCATGGCATAGGTAAAAGGGAACGAGGAGGCAAGCCCCCCCCCCCCCCCCCAATCTTCCGCATATCTTGCTTGATCCGTGAAAAAAGAATCAGATTGGTACGTGGGGAGGTGAGTTCAAGACATAATTAACTATATAAAAGTGTGCTTTATCTAACAATTTAAGCTTTTAGAAGAGATGATCTCACACTTCAACGTTACAAATTTTGGAGGTTATAATTTATTGTAAGACATACCTCTTGCAAGAAATCCGCCACACCTTTTCTTTCAGGGCATTTGAATCCCATGGATTCAAAGAAATCAAGAACGGCTTCTCGAGGGCCCTGATAAACAATGTAGCCATCCGATAACAAAATTATGTCATCAAACAAGTTGTATGTCTCGGGAGCTGGTTGTAACAGAGATATCACAGCAGTTCCCTTCAAGAGTTGCACCGATTGTCTTAGAAAATTGACAATAGAGAAAGTAGTTGAACTGTCCAATCCAGTTGAAATTTCATCCATGAAAAGTGCCTTTGCTGGTCCAACAAGCATTTCGCCTGTCGTTACACGTTTCTTTTGTCCTCCTGATATACCCCTTATCATTTCATCTCCCACCATAGTATCAGCACAGATATCCAGTCCCAAAATCTGCAATTAAAATTAAGAAGCAAATTACTATTATTAAACAAGTTTAACTTCTATACGCTGACTAGAGAAAGACAACTAAAAGAATTTTCAGGTCACTAAAAAGGTAATTACAGAAAAGGGCGGCCCGGTGCACAAGGCATCCCATATTCACGGAGGGTCCGGGGAAGGGTCGCACCCGGGTGTAATGTAGACAGTGTACCCTAATGCAAGCATTAGTGACTGCATACACGGATCGAACCCGAGACCTATAGGTCACAGAGAGATAACTTTACCGTTGCTCCAAGGCTACCCTCCAAACTACGGAAACAGTCCATAAAAACCATAGGAAATTATATACTTGCATATTGGAAATGTTACCTTAAGAACATAATCTGTAACAACGTTGGCTTCCTGTCCTTCTGTTGCTGAAGCCTACATTTCCAAAAACAATAAAAAGTTTTAAGTGTTTTAGTGAACACTTACCAAATAATTTAAAGTGAAATCCCTAATCTTCAATACAATAATAATTAAAAGAATTTTTACACTCTATAGAAAACCTTAGTACTATTTTAAATGAATATCATTTTAAAATATTACATCCTATAGATACCTTTTATACTTTATAGTCAAATATTTAATTATAGTTACATCTTACATTTAAGGCACCATATATGCTAAATAATATTTTTCTCTCTTTTTTTTAGTCTTCTCTCTCACATAATCACAGAAAAATTGACTAACTACGTTCTCTCTCTTTTTGCATACACTTTACTCTTTCTCCCTCAACCCACGATTCATACCTCTTCTCCCACCTAAATTCTCTAGTTCTCCTCCATTATCACTCCATTACAATCGCTTAGGGTAAGTTTAATTCGTTGATTTTGATAGACGAAGAGCAATTAGTTCAACTGTCGAAGTAGGGTTCACAGCTTTTGCGTAATTCATGGCTTCGTTTGTGGGATTTGAGGGCTGGGGATTGTTTGTAGTTGTTGTAGGAGGTTGGGCAGATGTGTTAGGGGGCTGACCAGCCGGAATTAATGGCTGGCCGCCGGCCGGCGAAGCCATAAGGCTGTTTCTCTCACTAGATCGCCCAAATCGCCTATTTGTATTCAGTTGTATTTGAATGTATATTTCAGCTGTATTCACATGTATTCAGTAGCATTCATTTATATATTTTAGATGTATTAAAAAGTTGTGTGTATTCTCTTGTATTCAGTTTTAATCAGTTGTATTTAACTATTTTATTCATCAGTAGTTAGTTGTATTCAAGTGTTTTAGACAACTGTATTCAGTTGTAGTTAGTTATATTCAACTATTTTATTCAGCAGAAATTAGTTGTATTTTGTTGCATTCAAGAGTTTTATTCAGTTGTATTCAGTTGTATTTTGTTGTATTCAAGTGTTTTATTCAGATGAATTAAGTTGTATTTTTGTTGTATTCAACTGTATTATTCATATGTATTTCTCTTTATTCAGCTATAATCTTTATTATGTATCTTTCAAATACAAATTAATGAGGGATCGTTTTAGTTCGTTGAGTTAAATTAGGAGAATATCATGTGATTTGATTTCCTTCCGTTTTTAACCAGTTTACCTTCCAGATTTTGCGCAGATACGTTACTGTATTTAACGTTAATGCCGCTTGAATACAGCTAAATACATGTCAAACTTAGCTGGAATTCCAGTTTTTACGCCTATTTTTTTTTGTTGTATTAATGAATACAACAGTTTAAATACATAAAATACATTGTATAAAAACATAAAAGGTATCTATAACACGTAATATAGCAAAGGGTATCTATAAATTGCTAATTAGACCTAAAAGATGGTGCTTTATGAAAAATTCTCATAATTAAACTAGAATATTTTATTATCCCCTTTTTTACCTTCATGTAAACATCAATATCAGGATCTGGTTTGATATTAGCTGTTTTCTCTCTTCTTGACAATTCAGCCAACATCTCTGTACAAGTTTTCAAGGGAAAAGAAAACTTATTAAATGATTTTCACCACAAAAAGGAAAAAAAGTATTTTAAAAAAAAAAGGCAACCCGATACACTAAGCCCCGCTATACGCGGGATCGGGGGAAGGGCCAGATCACAAGGATCTATTGTATGCAGCCTTACCCTGCATTTCTGCAAGAGGCTATTTCCACAGCTTAAATCCGTGATCTCCTGGTCACATGGCAGCAACTTTACCGGTTACGCCATCATTTACAAAAATTGAATTTAGTTTTAAAAAAAATAATCCCTCCGTTTCAATTTATGTGAACCCATTTGATTAGGCACGTAGTTTAAGAACAGAGAGAAGATTTTTGAACTTGTGGTGTAAAATGAGGCACATATATTTTGTGTGGCTATAAATCATTGCATAAAGGTAAATTGTTTCCAAATAAGGAAAGAGGTCATTCTTTTTGGCACGGATCAAAAAAGAAATAGGTTCACATAAATTGAAACGGAGGGAGTATAAGAAAGTACTAACCATATCTGGAGCCAACTCCTTGACATCTAGCAGAGAATTCCAAAGTTTCTCTCACAGTCATTTCTCCAATATGTAAATCATGTTGGCTAATATAAACAGCTGTTCTTTGTGGCACAAATTCATGTAATTCATGTCCATTATAAGTCACTTTCCCAGTAACCTGATTTCCAAAACCAAAAGGGAAACATTTAGTTCTTTTCTTGTTAATAATATCGTTTAACTTCTATACTCTGACAATGTAAAAAGAATTTACAATATCAAGTTACTTAAATATAATTAAAGGTAACCATCCTTCATTAGTGGAATTAGTAAACTTAATAATTAGTAACTTTCTAGCACAATGTAGAAATCAAGAATTTGGATAAGGATGTTTAATAATTTAATATCATGTATAAAAAGTAATTTTCGATACACGCAGTATAATTTTCCGATAAAAAATATTTAATCGATCACTCTTCATTTTATGTGGATACGCCATTACTTCTAGATTTAGGTTAAATTTAGTGATTGTGTAAAAAAGGCAGTCCGGTGCATAAAGCATTCCGTGTTTAAGTTGGGTCTGGGAAAGGACCGCATCCCAAGGTATGTGATGTAAACAGCTTACCCTACTGCAAGCATTACTGAATGTTTCCACGGCTTGAACATTTGACCTATAGGTACACAGAGACAACTTTATCGTCCAAGGTCGTGCTTCAATTTACTGATTGTGTAAAGTCAATTATGAAAGCAAGTCTTAGTGTAACTAGTAAAGTTGTTGTCATGTGACCAGGAGGCCACTCCGTGGAAATAGCCTCTTGCAGAAATGCAGGGTAAGGCTCTGTATAATAGACCCTTGTGGTCCGACCCTTCCCTGGACCCCACGCTAGGGATAACTTAGTGCACCGGGCTAGTCTTTCTTTTGTAAAGTCAATTATATTATAAGTAAATATTAGATAGATATTTTATTATAAAATGTATAGTATATGATATTTGGGGTTTTTGAAAATCTCACCTTTAGAGCAGAATCAAGTTTTCCAGCCAAAGCTAATAACAAAGTAGTCTTTCCAGAGCTTGGAGGTCCCAAAAGCAGTGTCATTCTACATGGTTTAATCATACCACTTACATCTTTGAGAATTGTAATTTGCCTTTTTTTACTACGTAGGATGTGAAGAGAATTCAAGAATGCCTAAAAATAGGAAAAATAAACAAAGTTAGTTTCAATCAAATGAAACAGAGGTGTTAAAATGTTTAATTTTTTTATTCATATTATTACCTCAACAAAATTGGTCATGAAGTTGATAAAAGTAGGCAAAGCCCTGCTTCCAACATATGCATCTGCCTCAATATTTACATGCTCATATCTCACTTCTATTGATGGCAAATCAATCCCAACTCTGTAAATTTTCCACAAAAAATTAAATATCAGTTAAATAAAAATAGTTAAAAAGCAACTAAAGGGAAGGCTTGGTGTAACCTATGTTGGTCGGACTCTCCGAAAATGTGGCAGGATACGTATTGGATCATCCAAAAGTAGTGCATTTTTTAAGGATCCGACACGGGTGCGGCTACATTTTTGAGAGTCCGCGCAACATAGGGCGTAACTGGTAAAGTTGTTGACTTGTTGTCATGTGACGAGGAGGTCATGGCGTTCGAGTTGTGGAAACAGCCTCTTGTAGTAATGTTGGGTAAGACTGCGTACGATAGACCCTTGCGGTCCGGCCTTCCCCGGACCCCGCGCATAGCGGGAGCATAGTGCACCGACTGCCTTTTTCGTTTAAAAAAAAACAACTCTTTGGTAAAGTTATTGCCTCGTGATCAGGAGGTCACGAGCCGTGGAAACAACATCCTGCAGGATAAAGCTGTATGCAATAGACCTTTGTGGTTTGGCCCTTCCTCGGACCCCGCGCACAGCAGGATCTTAGTACACCGGGCTGCCTTAATTAGAAAAAGTAACCCGGTATACTAAGTTATGCTATCTGCGGGATTTGGGAAGGGCTGGATCACATTGGATCTATCATCACTCTACATTTCTACAAGATATTGTTTTCACGGCTAGACAGTAGCCTCCCAATAATACACGACGATAACTCTTACTATTGCACTAAGACTTTCCAAAATGAAAACAAACTATACACGAAAAGTTATTTGCTTACCTATCAATTCTTTTCTTGAGTTTCAACAAGAACTTCTCATTATCTTCATCAGCAACTTTAACAAGTCTTTCAAGTAAAGTCTTTCTTTCTTGAATTCCGAGATCATTTATATCAACTTCAGCAGCTACACCACCTTTTGATCCAAACAATAAACCTTTTCTCAGACGATCAAAAGTTGGCAATTTTTCTAATGCAGCCCATTTTAGAGCTTCTTCATCATCTTCATCTCGAGCTGAACGTGAAAATACTTCAACTCCATTGTTTCTCCATATTGAGTTGCTTGTACTTGCCCTTAAACTCCCTCTCATACTACTCCCTCTCAAACCATTGAGATTCGCCGGCTCCATGTTGAGCCAACGTTCACGATATATACAGTGTAATTTTTCGCCGGCTAATCTCTTTTTTAAGTCACGTCGGCTTTAAAAAGAACTCGTAAACTATGCAAATGCTCTTTTTAACGCCCTGAGGCGGAGGATTGTATCTTTCTAAGATGCCTTGGTGGTGAAATGGCAGACACGCGAGACTCAAAATCTTGTGAAAATTGCACAAATGAACGTAAAAAATATTTAGAGATGTTTTTCCTCTGCACTTTGTTTTCTCTTTCACTTAATATATGGTTACAAAGAATGAAAGAATGAAAGGCAAAGTTAGAGTTTGTTAAAAAAAAGACTAAAGGGAGAGGACTTATATAGCAACAAATTCAGAACAGGTGGCTATTGGATGCATTATTAAGAAATATCAACAATTTTACTATAGTACTATGTTTTTTCATAGTACATTTTTCCTTAATGTTTATAATTTTATTGATTTGGTACTGATATATTATTTCTTTCTTTCTTTTCCTCTTCTTTTCATCTTCTTGAGCTGATAGTATATCGGAAACAACCTTTCTATCCCTCGGGGTAAGGATAAGGTCGGTGTACACACTACCCTCCTCAAATCCCACTAGAAAAATTTTACTGGGTTGTTATCGTTATTGTTGTTTATAATTTTATTTATTGAGCAGCAAATAGTAGAGGATATAATAGTGATTTCTCCTAGACAAGTGGAGAAAAATGAGGAAACGTTTTATTCCAAAAGACAAATGCCCCTTTGTTTGACTCTTGAAAATTACACCTGAAGAGAGATGTTGAGTTGCTTCATGCTTTGAACTTAGTGGGCGTTTGGACATAATAATTGTGAAATTCAAAAAAAAAATCGGAAAAAAAGAGGCGAAAATGGTATTTGAAAATTAGAGTTGTATTTGGACATGAATGTAGTTTGGAACTGTTTTTCAAATTTTTGTAAGTGATTTAAGTAAAAAAATTTGAAATTTAACTTCACGTGGAAATTAATTTTTTTTATTGTCAAACACTGATTTCAGGAAAAAAGATTCTGAAAAAGGTGATTTTTTTTTTTGGTTAAACTTAAACTTTATTAACCAAGTAAAATATTTACAATCCCTAGCTCTTTGGACTCTTGAGCTAGTTTCTATACATCCTTTTTGTAATCTATTGAATAACAAAACATCAACTAACTTTCTGTGATCACTGCCTAATTACAAAATCTAGCTAGGATAACTATTTAGTTTTTCTAACTCTTTCCTCCATTTATCTACTTGTTGTCCTCGTATATGCAGTATTAAGACAATTTCGTTTATCCTTTTTCTATATGTTGTCTCAATTCCTCGGAATCTTCTATTGTTCATTTCCTTCCATATTTGATATACCACTGCTGTAAATAGGAACACTAGAATTTCACCCTTTGTTCTATTCACCACCATCTTTGTTATCCATGCTATTTCTTCATCCTAGCTTCCTATCTGATGCTGCATTTCTATCTATTTCAGCATTGCATTCCACATATTTCTGGAGTATGTGCATTCGAACAGTAGATGTTCAAATGTATACTTAGTGTTGCTGCTGCATAGTACACAGTCTTTGTTAACTGTTATGCCCCATTTCTGTAGTCTTTCAACAGTAGCCCATTTTCTGTGTAGTGCCAACCAAAGGATGAATTGGTGTCTTGGTATTGCTTTTGATGTGGTCACTAATCTCTTCCAATTACACTTCTGGTACTGAGGTCTTGCAGCCTTGTACAATTTCTTGATATAGAACTTTCCTCCCTTACAATAGGAACTCAGAGTGTCATTCGGACAATTCTGCATGAACCATTCTCTTGCATCCAAAATCTTCTTGATTACCCAGCTTGCTTGCTTTGGAGTGGCCATATTTTTAATATTCCTGTCCTTGATATAGTAACTGTGAACCCATTGTATCCACAATGTCTCCTTCCTCTCAGTTATTGCCCATAATAACTTGCATAGGGCAGCCTTATTCTAGTAATATAGGTCTAACATATTTAATCCTCATGCTGACCTTGGCTTGCATATATAGTGTCCCAGGCAACCAATGATCTCCTTGAATGCTCAGTACTTCCAGTCCACAAGAATGTTCTACAAACTGCAACTATCATCTTGATGGTCTTCTTTGGAAGTAGAAATACTTGTGCCCAATATGTTTGCATCTCAAAAACCACACTCTTTAGCAGCTACAGTCTACCACTGTATGACAAAAACTTTGTTGTCTAACATTTTATTCTTGTTGTTATCTTCTCAACTAGAGGCATCCATTGTTGTGTTGATAGTTTTCTTGAGGATAGTGGAACTCCTAGGTACTTAAATGGAATCTCTCCCACTATGAATTGCATCTCCTCTAGTAACTTGTCTGTAAACTCCTTTGAGACTCCAGCTATGTATAAAGCAATTTTCTCCATATTTGCCTTCAATCCTGACACCTCAGAGAAATGATTAAGTCTCCCTAGCATTAGTTGAATTGAAATCTTGTCTGCTCTATAGCAAAGGATCAGATCATCTGCAAAACAGATATGTGTTATATTATTTTTGAAACATTTTGGGTGGTGGTTGAAATCTGGATTTTGATTCAGCTTCTTCAGGGATCTGTTTAAGTATTCCATCACCAGCACAAACAAGTAGGGAGACATAGGGTCTCCTTGTCTTAGTCCCTTTTTTGCTTGAAACTTTTCTGTTAGACCTCCATTTAGAATCAAAGAGTAACTAACTGTCGTCACACACTCCATTATCAGATTTACAAACCCCATAGGCAATCCAAATTCCATCAGAATCATTTTCAGAAAAGGCCATTCCATTGAATCATATGCTTTCCTTATATCAACTTTAATACAACACCTGGGAGACACCCTTTTTTGATTGTACCCTTTCACCAATTCATGTGCTATTATTACATTGTCTAATATGTTCCTTCCCTCTATGAATGCAGACTGAGCAGGTCCCACAATAGAATCTACTACTAGCTTCAATCTAGATGTGATGATTTTTACTATTATCTTGTAGTGTGTCGTACAACATGCTATTGGTCTAAATTCTTTAACAAATTTTGGTCGTGTAACCTTTGGCACTAATGTTACAGTAGTACAGTTTATGCTTTTTAACATTTTACCTTTCATGAAGAATTCTGTAACTGCCTTCCTAGTTTCCTCTCTAACCACACTCCAATAGGTTTTGAAAAATTCAGCAGGGAATCCATCAATTCCGGGTTCCTTCTCATCTGGTAATTCTCTTACTGCTTCATCAATTTCCTCCTTTGTTACTCTGGCACTAAGCATTTGTTGTTGCTCTTTGCTTAGACATGGCCCATCCCTTGCAATTTCTATATCAATACAAGGTAGTTCTCTAGCTGATGTACCCAATAGAGATTGAAAAAATCCACCAAATTCATGTTCTATTTTAATGGTATCTGTCAGCTTATTCCTCTGCTCATCATATATTACTGATATTCTGTTTCTTGATTGCCTGGACTTCAAGTGAGCATGAAAGAATTTTGAGTTTTGATCTTCTGCCTGAATCCACATTGCTCTAGATCTTTGCCTTAGTACTTGTTCATTTATGCCTTCCCACTTTTCAATCTGTATCAACAGTTGCTTTTCTGTATCTATTAAAGAACTATTGAAATGATCTTCATTCATTTCTCCTTGGACTTTTTTCAAATGGTCTCTAGCCTTTCCTATTTTCTTCTCCAGTGAGTTCATTTCTTTATTCATTGTCTTTGTTCTCTCTTTTAGCTTGTGCAATTTCCTCCATACTGAGAACATAATCCACCCCTCAACCTGTTGCCTTCATATCTCTTGGACAGCTTCCTCAAATTCCTTCTGTTTTAGGAGCACAGTATATAATCTGAATGGCCTAGGTAAGTGATTTCTCATTACTTCAGTATTTATAATGATGGGGGAGTGATCCGAGACACCTGGTAATTCCAAAACTGCTTCTAGACTACTATAATGAGTTAGCCAAGAGGCATTTCCAAATGCCCAGTCTATGTTGTTGTAGATTCTAACTTCAGTATCTCTTTTGTTGCACAATGACCATTCACACCCTTTCATGTTCAATTGCCCCAGCCCAGTATCTTTTATACAGTCCTGCAAATCTGTTATTTCACCCTGATGTACTGGTTGCCCATTGAGCCTATCATTAACAGACAATACATTATTGAAATCTCCAATAACCAGCCAAGCCTCTTGCATGCTTCTACTTATTTGCCTTAGCTGCTCCCACAATTACTTTCTTTCATTAAGCTTGTTCATCCCATATACAAATGTAACATAGCTTGAGAAGCTTGATCCCTTATCCTTCACCTTGCAGTGTACTAGCTGAGATGTACTCCCAATTATTTGGACCTGCACCATATTGTCTTTCCAGAATAGCCAAATCATTCCATTGTTTGCCACAGCTTCATCAGAGTATATCTTCCATTCCTTATCAAACTTCTTTTTAATTTTCATTTCACTTCTAGGTTTTATTCTTGTCTCAAGGCAACCTGTAAAGTAATTTTTTTGATTAAGCAAAAAGGCCCTGAGTTCTTTTTGCTTAAAGGGCTTGTTAAGCCCTCTTATATTCCATGTGCTAATTATCATGGTGGATTTACCTCATTGAGGCTCACCCCTTCAGTCCTTCTTTTAGAACTGTTATCATCATGTATCACTAAAGGACTGTACCTATTTTTATTCAGCATATTCATGATCTCTTTCTCCAGTAATGCTCCCTTTTTCTGAGAATTGGTCTTGTCCTTTATCTTCAGTTTCCCTCTAGTTGCCTTAACTGTCTGCATACCCATTTCCTACTCAGGTACCCCTTTGTCCTGGTATTCTGGTGTTGTTATCATCTTCTGTTCATCATGCATTTCTTGTTTCCTATCCCTTTGAATTTCCTCTTGTATGTTACTTTGTCCCTTCTTCTCTATTACTTGTTCAGTAATAGCTTTTGCCCTCCACTATTTTTTGACCTAGTTTCTGCCTACTTGTTGCTTCTGTTTTCCTGCTTGTTGTACCTCATGGGCTTTCTTCTGCACTGCTTTTTCACATTTCTCTTCATGTATACCTATTTGGCAACATTTTTCACAAAATACCGGCTTCCATTCATACCCCAGAATTTGCACTCTATACTTTCCTTCTTCTTCTTCTATAAGCATATCATCTCGAAGGTCTTGTGAGACATCCATCTCCACCAACATTCGTGCATAGGATATCCTTTCCCCTTCACCGGTCAATCTATCTGAGCATATAGGTTTCCCCAGGTAGCTAGCTATTCTCCCCAAATTTTCCTTAGTCCAGTATTCTATAAGCAATCCTGGGAAAATCACCCAAATAGGTATTTTCCTGGTCAATTCCTTACCCATCTGGAAATTCGGCTCCCATTGTTTCAAAATCAAAGGTCGATTATGGAATGTATACGGCCCTTGTTGAATCAGACTATTCTTATCCTCTTCTAAATTAAATCAAAATATGAAACAGCCATCATCATGCATAAACACTCGAGGTGTCTTAATGAAATTTCATACTCCATATACAAACTTTAACATCTCTTT